CCCCCCCCCCCCCTGCCGGGGGGGGGGGCCCCCCCCCCCCCGCCGCCGCCCCGGCCCGGCAGGGCGCCCGCCCCAGGAGATCATATAGAAGCCATTGTGGCTGCCCAATTCAGTTGCCCGGTCGGCTCCAGCAGGCCCATCCGCAAAGCGGTGAAGACACCGACACTGAGAATGAAGAAGTTGAACTGGCAGAAGCTGCCCTCCAACGTGGTGAGAGGTGGGTGCCCCTAACATAAAGTCGCTGCTGCTTTTTGGGTGACCCAAGGAAAAAACAGTTCATCACTTTCTCTGACTGCGTCAAATCTGGTTGACTCCATTTAGAAACAGAACTTTTCTGATTTCCATTATATCTGACCTATAAAGCTTAACCAAAAATAAAAAAGTTGCATTAAACTGGTAATTTCTAATGACCATTCCAGCTAGATCAGTAGTTTGGAACAGCTTGTTTAGAACTAAAATCCTTTGAAATTAAAAGCAGGGGGAGGGATGGGAAGATTCCCCTAATCCATCATGGCATGCCCTGGGCTTGGGTTTTCAACAGGTTCTGATCTGGGTTCAAGACTATCTTTTCCCCAGTTCATATATACTTGCATCTGGGTTTGTGAAAGTCACGACTAAGAGTGCACATCAGGGTCAGGTACTCTGGAAAACTGTCATGGTGAAAAAAATGGCAAAGGTCATGGAGAGGGGACAGCAGCCACAACTCAAGAAGAACTCTGAAAGAGCTGAAGAGCCACAAGAAATATTGACTTGTTTCTCGATCTGTGGGTCACATTTCCCTTTCCTAATGGATCCAAAGAGGAGCCTGAAATGTGAGAAAAAGCAACGGTAAGCAAGGTCAGCCTCGACCTAGACAAACAACCATCCGCTGTATGGAAGGTGGCATAGGTAAAGTCTAAATAATGCACATTTTTAACCACAAGGGCAGTTCATTGCTGGGATTTCTCCGTAGAGATTTCTATAGCCAAGTTTAGGTAATATTCAAAAAATATATATTTTTAAAAGTGCAGTGGGGATTAATTCATTAATTCAAATAGCCCTATATCCAGCATTCCATAAGGAGGCTAGATTATAACATGGAAAAAATAGGAAGGTCATAGTTGGAAAATAGCCAAGCCATGACTGACTGATCCTTCTGCTGCCATGCAAGGAACCAAAATAATATCAAGCATAGGATTAGGAAAGAAATGGCTGAGGCCCTTCTCATGTTAACCCAATTTGTAACCCAGTCGTGGAGGGGAATGCAGTTTTAGGGAGGGGATGGTGGCTGTATGACCTTTGCCTGCCTCACGCTTCATTTTCTTATCAGCACATTTTAGCCTAAAGTACCAAACCGTACAAGAAGATACCAAAGCACCACCAGGATAGGTGTCTTTTTCCTTCCTAGCACGTAGTAGTGTCCACAGTAACTACTTAAGCAGTAATTGTGAGTATCTTCACATTTTGGAGGGCTCAGTACATTGTCTAGATCGTTCCTAATGATTCTGGCGTTGTTACTGAGTTTGGGGGTCCTTAACTATTTCATTCATTTTCTGAGGAGTTTCCCTTCTAGCAACTCATGTTGCCCGAAAAGCCATGAGCTTTTGGCTGCCCCTGTAGCCTCTCTGAATATCTTTATCTTTTTTCAGAAGGTCACTCGATGTGGGCTTCAGTGAGTAGCAGCAGCGAGGAAACCATAGAGCCCAATTATACAAGCATAGAGCAACTGTTTTGCTTTCCGCAACCAACCCCCAAGGAGAAAACGGCTGCACCAGTGAAGGCAGAACCGAAGGAGGTGAGGGGGTCGTTCTCGTTCTTTAGAATAAAGATCACTGCAGACAGCTCATCTAATACCAAATATCTTCTTTTTCTTTAATGAAGATCACATTTTTGGACTCCAAGAAAAGTCTCAATTTGAACATATTTTTGAAGCAATTTAAATGGTAAGATATGGCTAGTTTTCATGATAGTTGCCAAAACTTTGAGCAGCTTTTGCCTAGTAAGGTGCTTACAAAATCTGTTCCAGCCATTGTGCTTTTGTGATCTGTGTTACTGAAACATCTTAACCTTTCCCAGCTTATAATATACTGTCTTTAAAACACTGGGTCTGGGGGTTTATTTATGTTTTTACATATAACATTCCTGTAAACTGGAGAAGGCTTTACATCTCCTTCTATAGAGGAGAAGCTGTGGCACAGAATCATAGGGTGATTTAGGTCATAAAAGACCTCTGTGGAGCAAACCTCTACTGAAAGCAGAGCCAACAGAGAACTTAAGAATCAGGGATTTTTTTAAAAACAATCATCAAGTACATAGGAACAGGCATCTAAATTGCAGGATTAATCCCTGGCCCTGAGTCATTTGACCAGAGCCAGAAACAAAACTTTGGATATAGCAGGGTTTTGACCTTACAAGTCCCAGGTTTCTGAGTTAATCACTGTGATAAGCTTCCTCTTGGATTACTGTGGCCCTTGTTAGGAAAGCATGGAGCACTTGCATGGATATGTATCTCAATAGCATGTGCTTGTGGAACAAGGGCCTTTGAGTGACTGCTGATTCTGCTCCTCCTCCCTGCAGCTCCAATGAAGAGGTGGCTGCCATGGTCCGGAACGGGGACAGGACCAAGTTTGATGTTGAGGTGCTGAAGCAGTTGCTCAAGCTGCTGCCTGAAAAGCATGAGGTGAGGACAGAAATGTGGTTTGCTTAATTTGCACAGCTGTAAATGCAGTGCAGTCCTGCAGTCTTGATTCTTTATTTCTCATTAGATAGAAAACCTGAAGGCCTGCAAAGAAGAGAAATCAAAGCTAGCAAATGCGGATCAGTTTTATCTTCTCCTCCTTCAGATTCCCAGGTAAGGGAGTTAGTCATGAACTTAAGCCGAATGTTTTTCTGTGTTTACCTCTAGCGGTTTTAAGTTTCTTTATAGGAACCTCACAGCCAAGAGCTGATGGATATACTAGTGGATTCCTCCTTCTACCTTAGGGGCATCCCTTCTCTGCTACCCTTGGATGAAAGACTATCGCTGCTCCAGCACCTCCTCTCCCTCTGAAATAGCAGAAGCTGGCCCAGACCCGGGGCTAGATCTCCCTGAGGAGGCCATGTAACTTACTGGAAGTCATGTGGGAGCCTAATGCAATGCCAGGAAGGGAAAACCCAGATCTCATGTAGTGGTCAGTCTGCTGACCTTAGTGCATCAACAGAAACTACATCCCAGTGACTGGTTCCCTCCACAAGCCACCCGCAGAGGCTTGATGTGAACATGTCCTATAGCAATGTTGTAGAGTTGCCACACTTCCAGGAGATGTGGGAAGAAGGCCGCTATGCTGGCCAAGATCACAATACCGTGAAGTGTGTAATCGATCTCCTTCCTTAGCTACCAGCTGAGAATTGAATGTATGCTGATCTGTGAAGAAACCAACGTTGTGCTGGACATGATTCAGCCAAAAGCTGAAGTCATCCGGAGAGCCTGTGAAGGTAAATGAGCTGACCCTGTTTCTTGATGTTATTTCCAACAGTAAGCTGCAGTGTGCCAGAAAACCTCTCCTATGTACAATGAGGCTACCCAGCACGACAGCTCCCCTCCTGCAGGCTGGTCACTGGTTCACTACAGAATACAGGATGCAGCTCTGGGTGTCCCCGCTGGGGGCCAAAGCCCTTTGTAGGACTGGAGATCACTTTCCCTCACCTTCAGTCCTTTTTTTCTGCAGCAGCTGTATTCTTCTGAAACACTTTCAATAGTGACGCGTGGGAAGCTCATCAGCCCTTTCAAAGGAGCTGACTTTAGACAACAGAACTAGCCCTGTTACAGCTAATTCATCCAGTGTTATTTGCCACATGAAGATCTTCATGCAGCAGTTTCCTCTGCTGCCACAAAAAGCATACCCCAAAACTCCCCCAGAAAACAGCAACACTTCAGTTTTCCCTGACTGCAAATGGAACCAAAAGAGAAAGTTTGTTATTTTGGGCTAAAAATGGCTGATGCTCAAATTTTGTAGTGATGGAAGTATCTGAATACATGGAGCGATTACACAAGAAGTCTCTGCAGTTACACAATAGGTCCCTGTTTCCTGTGGCAAAAGCTACTGGTCACACTCAGCAGAGTCAATTAAAGTTAGTCAGATACGAAAGAGTGGAATGGAAAATTCAGCAGGCAGGGGGAAAAGAGGTATAAAATCCTTTTGAATGGTTCGTTCTCAAGATCATCCACCTAGTGGAAGTAAATGTCACCTATGGCGATTTCTAGATTTCAGATCTGTGCGTCTAGAAGTCCCTGCTTTGGCTTTGCCTGTGGGAAGCATGTACAGAGATGCCTGCCTGGGAACTGGTTCCAACCCTCTAACAGCAGCAGAGGGAGCCCCCTATCCCCTTCTTGGCACTGTCAAGGGCCACCTGTCCTGAAGAGCCAGTTCCACCAAACCCTGTGGTGGCTTTCTCCAGCTGGAGTTACAACTGCCTGCTGGAATAAATTGAAACTTCCTCCAAAAGTTTCTTCCAAGCAGCCCACTTGTCCTCTTAGAGCTGTTCCTGCCTCAAAGCTGAGTATGTTAGAAAACGTGCCACTGCAGCACCCTATCTTAAAAGTAAGGACAAGGACTGTTTCTTTCATGCACTGGCCATGCAAGAACAAGAACAGGACGAGCGTGTCTGGTTTTATCAGCTGGCAGGTATTCACAGAGCTGTCAGAACTGGCTTTACTGCACAGCTGAACAGGCTCTCAGAGACTTCTAGAATTAAAATTTTAGCTCAATTATCCTCACCCATACCAGTATAAATCTGGGATACTTCCACAGAAGGCGGCGAGTGATGACTGTTAGTAAGAAGAGCCCAACTGCAGATTGTATTACATTAGGAATGAGAGGCCAAAAGTAAAGAAAGAAAGAAACAAAACCCATCAAACCTTTTATGAAGCCCAGCTAGTGAAATTGAGTTTATTTAGAGTGAATTTCTCTTCAGGTTGGGCCATTGGGCCGCAAACCTGAAAAAATTCGGATTTGGTTTGGTGGAATTCAGAATTCCAATTTTAATCCAGTTTAGGAAACATTCTGGTTTGACAGAGGCTTTTAGTTAAAGGTCCTTTTTGTTTTTCAGATCTTCTGAACAGTCATCGTCTGCCACTCTTTTGTCAACTGATTCTCAAAGTTGGAAACTTTCTGAACTATGTAAGGATTTCTTCTGTCTTGTCTTCTGCCCAGTCATTATGATACGTGGATGATTCTTCTCGTTCAGGGTTGTTACGTTTGCCTTCTTTCTATCTTGCAGGGAAGTCATACAGGCGACGCTGATGGATTTAAAATCAGCACTTTACTCAAACTAACAGAAACCAAAGCAAACCAAACCCGCATTACGCTGCTCCACCATATTCTGGAGGTACCACTGCCAAGTGCTGGGCAATAGGGAAGGGGGAGGATTTTATCACAGAGTAACCATTTCTCCTACTCTACTTTCGATTGATGTAACATGCTCATATTCATATCCTTCCCGGCAAGCTACAGAGTGTTGCAAGTTGAGAGCGCTCGATCCACTTAGGCTAGTAGCACCTTTCCTCCAGCATCTTTCACCACAATTGCTGGAACTTCCTCTTTTCATATTTCAGCAATCTCTGCACATCAGCAGCTGCAAACCACAGAACATGCGGCTACCAAAACCATCTGTGCCACTTCAACCCCTCTGCCTTTGTACTGCTTTTCCTTTTCCACCAGACTATACTCAAGCTTTTCATGATCCCCACCAAGCGCCCATGGCTTTCTTATTCCCTGCATTGCTGGGTTTTTTTTCCTTCATATTCTGCTCTGACAACCTCATTCATCAAGGTCTCTCAATTCCAGTTACGCATGGTCCAGCCCCGGTTAGCTCGCAGTAGCTTCAGTAAGCATAGCCAAGGAAGTAAAGTAGACAAATAAGAACTGATTCCTTTTAATGCCTTGCTGGGACCGTAGGAACTGTCAGACTGCATCAAACCAGAGTCCTGCCTCCTGCAATGGCCAATAGTAGGTTTCTCAGAAGAAAGTAAAAGACATCCCCAGTAAGATAAAAACAGAGCACAGTGGCAGGTCAGCTTTGCTTTGAACTATGAATATTTCTAAACTTTCAGCACTCTAGTGTGTTTTTATAATGTGGAAGTAATGCCTTACCTCTCTGAATATACAGTCCTGTTTTGAATCCTGCTTGGCTCTGCAGCACAA